GAACTAATAATATAAAATATTAGATAAAATGTTTCTATGCACTTATGAACTGTCAAATCTTAAGTAATGAATATCCTCAAATAACCATAACATATCCTCAGACTTGGTAACAAGAATTAGTGAAATTGTCTATTCTTGTTTCAATAAATAGTAAAAATAAGAAGATGAAAAGAGGATATGTATTTTTCTTGATTTCACACTTCAGTTATTTACATTGTTAGGTGCCTTATTTGTCTGCACAGCACCATAATTTTGAATAACTCTGAGGTGGAAGAAATTGAAATATTTCTCATAATGTTCCAACATTTTCTTTATAATATGATTGAGAACTAGAAAAACATAAAACTATCTGAATATTTTTGTCAAAATCGATCAACTACCTGATATATTTTAATCTTGGAAACTACATCTGTGAGACATTTCTATTTCAAGTAAAAATATTTTATTACAGATGTAGATGTTATTGTATAACTAATTCTGCTCTAGTAAGCCTTAATATTGCATCTGTCATAACTCTGCTAAATCATTGTTGTGTTGGACTTCCTCAACAAGAACAACATTATTAATATTTCACGTTTGTTGCTGTTGTGTGTATTATACATTGTTTCAGTATGGAGAAATTTGTTCAGAAGATTAATTTCATGTTGAAGGTTTTCATTTAATTCCATTTTATAATGAAGGAATTACTCTTTCTCTCCTAACATTCTGAATTACAGAATAGACAGTTGGACTGTTGTATTATAAACACTTCTATTTCTAAGTTCAGAAAGGAATTTTTGAAAAAGAGCATTTTAGGTTTGGTCTGAGATTCTTAAATTTGTGATTTTAAAAATTCCAATAAAACCATCTTTTTTTGCTTAGAAATAACTTCTCATTTGACATATTTCCAGGTGTTTGTCTCATTTGCACGACAGCAGACTGATGGTATTGAAGATGAATTATATGATTCAGAATCTTGTGGAGTTATTCAAACACCAGTGGCTGCGTATAATCCTACATTGTATGGAGTACCCAAAGATGACACTGATAAGAACATTAGACTGTCAACTTTTACAAACACTTCATACATTTCTGAAGAAGAGCCAGAGTTTCAAACAAATAGTTTAGTAAGGAAGTCATCACAATCTCCGTTTAGTATGTACGAAGATGGCCATGATTACCAATCTACAAAGTTTTAGTTAAACTGTAAGAAGGTGTTCAAAGTTGTGATTCAATTATTTAGTTTCGTTTCTTATTGAACCATTTATAACTAAGGCTTTTCTTTACATTGAAAAGTTTATTTTTAACAATAACTAAATGACAATGATTTGTACAATGACTGGACTTTTATGTGACAAAACAATTGTGGCCAATAATGTAAAATTATGCAATGATTATGTTGCAAAATTTAAAATTATGCCTAATTTATCTAAAGTAGAAAAACTTAGAACGATAAAATTATGAAATTTAAGAAGGATGTGAGATATGTTAATGCAATTCCACCATTAATATAATTTTAACACTAATTGTTTTCAGGAAGTAACAACAACAAACACTTTTAGACTTTTAGTAGTATTTTGATAAACCATTAATCAGACTGTCTGGGCAGCAACAAGAAACAAAATGAGTCAAAACCAAGTCAAAAATTATAAATTTGGTAACATCTAAACTTGACTTTATTAAGTCCAGAAAAAAAATGCCAGGAAGGATGACTGTAATTGCATTAAACCCTGGCTCTGTATATAAGAGTTATTGGTAACCTAAATTCTACGTTCATTGTAACGTTAGGATGATACATCATATACTATTCTTGTGTATTGTATGAAAGAAAACTGTGTTTTGTTTTAATATTTTCTTATGTAGATAATGAGTAGCTTGAATGTTGTATTAATTTCAGGTAAGGTACTTCTATATCCCAAGGTTATTTATAACCAGTATTCCAAATTGTTGGAAATGAAAATAAAGAAATTTTATGATTATTTATCTTTTAAAGCAAAAAAATGGAAAGCTCCATTATCATTTACGGAGTAATTTCAGTGCCTTTAATAAAACAGCCAACAATGTTATTCCCAAGTGATTGAATTATAGATGTATTTTTGTGGTTTATTTTAAAATATATATATATTTATATAACTTTGAGACTGCAGGTAATAAATTCTTGTTTGTACTTTTAAAAATGTGAAACACATTCAGAGTGCTGCAGGTTTTATTCATATTTGAATAACACTGTATATTTAAGAAATTCTGGATTTTTTTCTTTGGTTGAGAAAATTCGAAATATAATGAAATGTCGCTTCTAACCGAAAATCAAGTGTTATCAATTTTGCAAAGCATCTTCATTGAAATTGAAAAAAAAAAAAAGCTACGAATTCATTGTCGTCTGTAAATGAGGTTTGTGATGCTATACTACATTAAAGTCTACTTCATAAGTATGAAAAGTTTTTAAATGCTGGTAGTAATAAGAACATTACTTCATGGTTGTTTTATTTGTCTTGGATATTTTTATGAACGCTAGAGTAAGACCATGTTTTTATGTAATTATTAATAAGTTTAGTAAACATTGGTGTTTCCAATAACTATAAAAGCAATGCATGCTATATATAAAAAATGATGTATATGATTCATAATTATTTAACTGTCGATCCACAAATGGGAAAGATGTCACATGAACCACTTGAAAAAAAAATCCAAATAAACCATAATGATAAGAGCTGAAAAAATATAAGTTTGTTTTTAAAAATCTCATGTAAAACATACTTAAAATATTTATCACATTTAATAATAACAATGTTAAAACCACTCTTCAGGAAGCTAGAGAATAATAACAATGGAAACCAGAAAATTAAATCTACAGACTACTGTTCCACGGGAAAATACAACTTATTAACATTGATTAGTTAAATTAACGTCAAAAGCTTTAGTGGGTATATGCTTCATTAAAGAGGAAAAATACAACTTATTAACATTGATTAGTTAAATTAACGTCAAAAGCTTTGGTGGGTATATGCTTCATTAAAGAGGAAAAATACAACTTATTAACGTTGATTAGTTAAGTTAACGTCAAAAGCTTTGGTGGGTATATGCTTCATTAAAGAGGAAAAATACAACTTATTAACGTTGATTAGTTAAGTTAACG